TAGATTTCCTAATATCAGTGACGAACTTTTGATCTAGTATTCGACTTTAGCAGTACTTTTCTGTTACAAACTGACCGTATGTGAAAAGACAATAATTAGTTATTGAAGTGAATGCCAAAATCACAAATTTACTAATATCAGAAACGAGCTCCTAGTAATCTAGTAATCGACTATAGCAAATCTTCTCTACTACACATCATTTTTATGTGTATAGAAGACACTTAAATCAAAGCCAGACAGTCACAGCACCAATAATTAATACTCTGAAAATATATAATATTTACTAAAAATTCGAAAATTTTTTGTGTTATGAATTCCGGATTAGAAAGGAATTAAATGTGTTTCAGTGGTTAAACATTATAACAACGTGATTAAGCTAATCAATACTAATGCATTTATATTGTTTATCAAACCATAAATATTAGTTAATTAAACAAAAAATATATCAAAATATTTATTTTCCAAAATATTTATATTGAACTTTATTACCAACAACCACTCTTTGCTACTCGTTCAGCAAAACAGCACATCTACTCATAAATCTGGCATATGACATATGCTTTAAATAATAAATCAGATATGTGACATAAATAGACATTTGGAATGATAACTTGAATCACATATTTGGTAAAACCGAAATTGTCCTTCAAACACAACATAATTTACTGAATTTTAAATAAATAATTAAATTTGTACAGACGCACTTGTAGACACATTCACTTCAGCACAAATCACGCATGTCAGACCGCAGCTCTATCAGACGGATTATTCAAAATTTATAATACATTTTCTCAATTCAATTAAGGCTAAATGAATTATAATAATACGAGTACCTTGACCACAGTCCAACACTTCATAAATAATTTAACTGCGCTTAATTGGAAAACGATTAGCCGCACTGTGGCCTGACCGTTTGCGTGAAGTTAAGGCACATATACCAGAGTCAATGGTGGACGACTCGGGGCCTTTCGAGGATGCACTGAACACAATGCCACGAAATAAATCCCAAAAAAAAATCACATAAAGCAAAATTAAAAATAATTTCATTTTAATCATGTAACTACAAAATAAAAGAATAAAATTAAAAGTATTTAAATACATATATATTCTACATACAATATATTTATTTAAATCATACATACATATATATTATACAAATACCTCTTGGTTCGTTTTAATGTGCATTATTTTACAGAATTTTTTTTTTTTTTTTTGTTAAAAAAGATATTTTTAATTCAGTTTAATGCGGTTATATAGCACAATCGCTCATTTGTACTTATGTGTAAGTTTATAAATGATGTTTTTTTTTGTTTTTTTTTTTTGAAATCCCCGTCGAAAGTTGCATGTCTGTGGGCTCTGTCAGCGGTCGTCGTTGTACCGTTTTCATTGCAAGCGTCCATTGCATGCTTAACAATTCAGTAAAGTGCAGGCTATGGCAAGACATACCAGACAGTCTGACGCTGTTGGAGCCCACAATGTCTAAAAACAACTGCAAATGCAACAACAATAACAAAATTATAACAAAGTAAAATGCCAAACAGTATGAGATATTTTAAGGCACTGAATATGCCACAACAACAACATCAACAACAACTATACGAAACCAATCCCGCCACATGTGGTACGACGACAGTGGCTGTTCTGGTTTTATGTTCAGTGTTACTGGCAATTTTACGAGTGCATGCAAACAAGCTGTGTAGGTGGTTCATATTCCAAGGGATTGGGCTTGATTCACAACCGAACCGAATGACTGAGTGTCTGACTGACGGTATGGCGATATGGTGATATGGCGGATTGGCGGATTGGCGGACTTATTTTCGATTTGACTGGGAATACCATGAGTAGTATATTGTCTGGTGAGTGTGTGCTTAGTGTTCGGTTTTTGAATATTGTAACAACAAGTATTGCACATTAGCCATGCATAAAAATATCTCGAGACATGACATGGATTTGAATAATTAAAACATGGCTGAGCACTGTCCAGTCGAAGTTTATCTGAAAAGCTAAAACTTTTAATGCAATCACATTGAAAATGCAACAAATTTATTGAATTTAATTGACTTTGTTTACGGTTTTAGTAATAAAGCTACAAATCTGTTTCCAAGGCGAGAGGTTAATTTAATTAAACATGCACGAATAGTTGAAATTATTTGAAATATATACATATATATGATATATAATTGAGAATAGTTAAGCAAACTATTGAGATAAGTATATTATACTAAAGCATTTTAAATCACATATTTAAGAAATCTCAATTTAAATCTGTTTACTTAAAAATTTTAACCAACGTTTGTGCTTATTGGTCAAAGAAGTTCATATGTCTTCAAAAGATATTTAAATATTTTAGATATCTTTTTTTATCTATTTTATTTAAATTAACCTCTGCACTTGATATATACACAGCATGAATAATTATGTGCTGTTAACATTCTCAAAAAATAACATTCTTGGCAAGTTGGCTGACATATATAACATATATGCGGTTTAGTGTATCAGTAACAATAGATGCTGAGATGAAAAAATTTTGACTAGAAAGGTGCTAAGAGATAGTTTGGCACTCAGCTTTCTTCGATAGAAGGTTAGGATCACTTAACGAATTACTGACGTCATTTGAAATCACCAACTGACGACAATAAATTCATGAATGAAACCTGCGAAGGACATATGTAAAGACTAACTAAATAACCAAATTCTTTGTTTTTATAATACATTTTCTCAATTCAATTAAGGCTAAATTAGACATTCACTAGTGAATGTCTAAAGCACTTTTATTCAATAGTGTCTGGGACCACTTAGATTAGCTTAGATTAGATTGGGTTGGGAACTAGTCACCTTGTCACTGCATCCTTTGAGTATTATTGTGACATACCCACTTCACAGTTCCATAGACGAGTAGCAGTTAAGAATGCTAATTTATCCTTTGGAGAGATGTTGCCTAATTCCGTTGTATCCGGATAGACAGTCATATATTATATTAGGCCAAAACTATTCTACGGTCCTTCATGAAAATTTTTTCAAACTTAAATTTAATGAATGGCTGGAAAAAGCAGCTCAGACTGATTGGGATAATGTAATTGCCTGCAAAGAAGCTAAAGAGTTTATGCAAAATCGATCAAAAGCCAGAACTTGGGAGCTTCTAATGATAAACAGAAAAGGTATTCGACTTGTCACAGGGTTTCTCACTGGATATTGCGGAGTTAAAAACATCTATCGAATCTAGCTAAAGAAGGAAACCTTGTTACTGTTATCTTTAAATCTTGATACTGTTGAAGATTAAGAGTTGTAAATAATTATAAAACTTTTCTCAAAGTATAAAAAAACACAACAGAAGCAAAAGGTTTGTTAAAATGGTAAAGTATTGAATACATCTCCCAGTGATTAGAAGGGTAGTCGTTGATGAGACAATATAGTCGCAGATAAAGCGAAAAATATACCTAATTTAAAGTGGTTACCATATCACATTGATTTTTAATTAACACTTTTTCATTATTTAACTTTATAAATAATTATATATAATAATATAAGAGAACTCATTCTGATAATACATGAAATATATTCAAGACTGTTATTAAATTTATATATATTACATGTATGTGCAACATATTTGACCACAGACTCTCTATTACTTTTTTCGACAAAAACAATATCGATTTTCTAGTATCTTTAAATATTAAAAAACAAATTTATTTATTTTTGTGAAACATAGTCATAGATATATCTAAAGAGTTCAACTAAATAAAAATAATGCTTGATGTATATAAAACTATTTAACAAGCTGTGTTTAAGATTGAATTAGGATTAACATATATAAAAGACAAAAATGAAACATAAATTTTAAAGTGAAGTCTTCTGCAAAAGTTATGTAAATTTCAAACTGTACTCAGTCCTTACAGTAATCCTTACAGATCAGTTTAGAATAATCGATTTAATAAAAAAGAGTCCAATTTAAATTATAAGCCAAAAGTAGAGGGTAGAGTAATCATTTCATACCAGATTAATATAATCTTAATGATAGATAAGAGTTAAAAAGAATGTAGATCGTATCAATCTTAAGAATAATCCTTGGACAATAAAGCGGCATAATTAAAATGAGAAAAAAGTATACTATATACGTTAGGAATCAGACCCAACCTTCAAACAATTTATTACAGATCAGATTGGTATAACTGAACTTTTAGGAAAAACTACTGAAATGTATATATATACTGACATACTGAGAACTGAGATACTCTATTAAGTAAATGTAATATTTAGTACAATTTTTACAGACTAGAAACGGTTTCTTTAATTTATAAACTCAATCCAGCTTTTGAAGTGATTGTAAGGATTAAAAAGTACAATCTAAGTTTTAAAATCAATGCGATTTACATTGATATTAATGCATGTCAGATTCATTAAATCGAAGAGATTAGGAAATATGCATTCCTAATTACAAATCCAACCCTGCTTGAGAGTTCAGATTTCTGTCATTCTAATCTGTAAATACAGAAAAACACGAATATTTGACCGAAGGTTTCAAGAACGGCCGGGTCTGCGTCCCGGTGCCATTCGTCAAGGTCGATGAACAAGCAGATCCTTGCGGAATTAAACAACAACAACAAGATATTGCAAAATCTTTTATTTATACATATTATTATCATTAAAGTTTAAAAATTTTTTTTTCAATTCAAATAAGTTATTAACTGAAAATTATGGCTTTAAAATATTTAATATATAAAATGCAAAGAATCTATTTATACGCTTTTTACAGTTTTATAATAATCAAGTCATGTAACAATATATTAAGAATTGTTAATAATTAAATAAAATAAAATAATTATTATTTAAATATTTAGTTAAATATTAATTTTTATTAATTATATTGTAATTAAATTTATAGACAACTTTTAAACAACAAGAGATTACAATATTCAATATTATATATAGATAGATAGTTCGATAAATAGATAGTCGTATATATGTAGATAGTTAATGTAATAGTATAAAAAAGATCATACCTACTCACCGTATTTCTGCCAAAACGTTTGGTCTTTCAGCTGATCGTAATGATGGTCTGTAATTAAATTGTAATCAATTCTGGCGGTTGTGGTCGATGTACTTAATGGTGTTTCCGTAGTGCCATTTTCAAATGCCACTCTACGCTCTATTGTTACCGATGACGCGCCTATTGACGTTAATAAAGTCGACGAAGACAATTTTGACGACGATGATAGCAATGTTGGTGCCAGTGTCGGTACTGGTGCTGGTGCTGGTGCTGGTGCTACTTGTGCACTTGGTACTGAGGCTGAAGCTGATGTTGGTGCTGTTGTTGGTGCTGATGTTGGTGCTGATGCTGATGCTGATGATGATGATAGCAATTGTGCAGCTGTTTTAATTGTTGTTAGTGTTTGTGTTGCTTTCAACAATGTTTCTTGGGAATTCTGTTGCGGTTGTTGGTGTTGCTGATTTATGCGATTTGGCTTTTGCCAGACATTTGCCGCCAAAGGCGCATAAGATACACTCGATTTTATATTCAAATGATTTCGAGACTGAAATTCTGATTGCAATTGTATTTGCAATTTTGAATTTGTAATTTTATTTTTAACATTTTTATATGCAACAGTCTTTTGACTGCTGCGATTGCGGTTGAGATTGTGAATGCGATTTTTATTGCGATTGCGATTGCGATTGGGATTGGAATTGGGATTGTTGCTGCTGCTATTCTGGCTGTTGTTATATATATTAATACGTTCACTTTGCCGTACATTTCGTATATTTCTACCTAAATTAAATTTACTAGAATTATTTCTAGCATTATTTACATTATTTACACTGAAAAGATTTTCACAAATTTTACTTGTAACATTTTTCTCAAATGATTTCTTTATATTTTCATACAATTTTTTATTTACACTGTAACTAACTTTTGTATTATCATTAAATAATATTTTATTATTGCTTGAATTATTATTTTTATTATTATTTTTATTATTATTTTTATTATTATTATTATTATTATTGTTTTTACTATTGCAGCCTGTAACGCCGTTTTCTACGTTTCCAATTGATTTTATTTTTGTGTGGTTTTCTGGAGGAATTCCTAAAATTTTGTACCATGTCAAATATTTACAATTTTTTATGTTTGCAATATTTTTTTGCCATGAATTTATTGGCAGCTTTATTGTTGTTGGTGCAACAATAATTGTAGGTGGCGCTTTTGTCGTACGATTATTTTTTAAATGTACATTTAAAAATGGCGTAATTGTATTAGTTAATTTTATTACGGTTGTTGTTGCTGTTTTTGTTGTATGGGTAATTAATATTTTATTATTGTTAATGTTATTGTTAATGTGAAACGATTCGTTATTATTAGTGCACAAAATTGGCACCGCGAGGGCTTGAGCCGACCACAAAATTGTTGTTGCCAGAAGCGGTATAATAAACGCTACTAGTGAATAGACCCCCGCGGCGCCTTTGGCTGCATACGTGGGGGCCACAGCGTCTTAATTACGGATATTGACGTAAAGTGCTGCAGCGTAGCACACAAAAGTGCCAATTTAAATAATAATATTTTTTATTATTATTGTTTTCCATATAGAATTATATTTCAATTATTTTATTTTCTCACAAAGCCAAAGAATACGCAGGGTGCAACTGTGATTATTTATCGTTCAGGAAGACCATGATTTGAGCCAATGCGTTGGCGTTTTAATAATTTGCTCTTCTCAATTCTATGCGAATCTTTACCCAGAAATTGAATTGAATGCATAATTTTATGTAGATATTTATAATCGATTTAAGTCTAAAATTAAAGAAAAAAGATGGCTCATAAAATAAATTTTAATAATTCAAATACTTGTATTAAAATAATAAACACAAATTCAGTAATGTGATATCTGCCAAAAATTATAAAAAGAAATACACTTATAAAATAAATAATAATAATTAAAATAATTATATTAAAATAATATATATTTTAAGTATTGTCTAATTTACGAAAATGGGGTGGCAGAGAATAAGAGCACTACTGGTGGTATCGACTATAAGAATCGACTACTGGTAGAAATGTGCGACACTCGGACGCTGAACTGATAGCTGGCGGCTGTACTCGAATCCACATTAGTAATGAACAACAACGATGACAGCCTATAGATCGGACAAATAATAACATATAATTGCCAATAGCTGCTACTATGAGCTCAGTATGCAATTTAGAGTTATATATGCCAAGCTGGTTGCTGACGACTACAGTTCGAATCTGTCGAGGATTTCATTTATCTTAGCATAGTAGCAGTAACCAACTGTAACAGCCTGGAGATCAGGCAAAGAATCACCATTACCATTTGAGCTTATAATAGCTATTATGCTATTATAAGCTCAGTAGGCAATTGAGATATAGAGTTCTCTATCATTATAGACAACAAAAAATGTTGTCTATATGTCACTCATAATAACTGTATTTCTGTACGGCGCAAAAACATAGGTGAACTTAACATTAGCTCCATCATTATCATTTGCTTTATGAAATTCATTTATAATTTATGAATGATTAAACCATCCTCTACACATATTTACTAATTTCCTTGTACAAACAACTCCAGCAATTTTAATGCCATTGATGGTATGTACCGAAACAATTAGAACATTGGCAATCCTGTAATATAGAATGATGAAATAGCAATTGAATTTTTAAGAGAAAAGCTCTAGTTCTTCGCCGAGACCTTCTCCTAAGCCTAGACATAAACCCACAGACTGTACGAGCTTTATCACGGCATTGATGTAGTTCAAGCTTCGCTGGCTTGGTCATGTTGAAAAATACATGAAGAATTTTTTTAAAAAATACAGAGAAATTTGATGGTAACATAAAATTATTCTTTTTGTAGTTCTGAGTTGGCAACACTGTGCCTGTAATATATATATCAAAGACTGTAAGATCTTAAGGTATAGGGCAAGGCAAGGTCTTAAGGTGTGATTGGTCGTGTTTTCTCAAAATGAGTAAGATATGATTCTTTGATTCTGATTACTATAGCCACATTATTACTAAATTTTTTTGATATATGGTTTAAGATATGGATGATATGGATATGGATGTTTTGATTTTGTTGTGTAAAAATTTTTCGGAAATAAAACCAACGAAAACCGATTTCTCAACACTGGACTTTTTTGTAGTACTACGGAATAAATTACCTAAACCAACTTGGATATATAAACCTTTATAGCAAATCTCATGATCGACCTGTACCAAACTGAAAAAGAAACGTACCACTCAGCTGTTTTAACTAAGGCGTAACCTGCTCAGGACTACTGTATTGATTATAATGACTTTCGTCGGGACTGTGTCCACTTTATGTGTCACAGTAGCCAATCATTGACTAAAAGAAGAAATCTTTGAAGCTCCTTTTTTTACCGACCTGATAAATTGGTCATCCTGCATATTTAGCGACTTATCAGGTTGGTTCAGTTTTTCTTGAATAACGTAGTCGTGCCTTACAGCATTGTTCCTATGCCAAGCTTCTAGTCTGCGTTTTAACAATGCGAATCGGTGTTGTCACAACGGGCCATTATTTTAGTTTAAGTTAGTTATTGGGACAAAGACATTACTCCAACCTAACCAAATGCAAAAGATGATGTTCATGCATTTATGTGGATAATCCTGAGATCAACAACTCTTCCAAAAATAAAATTTAGATTAAAGTTATTGTCACAAGTATATTATGTTTAAGTTTATCTTTAAAACCATAAAATGTACAACTTTGTATAACTGCAAGTGTCATTTAATCTCACTTAATTAATTAAATAAACTAATCCGTCTAAAGCATTAAGACACCTAATCTTCACTTATAAGTATATACGATAACATTTTCTAGTGTTTCTAAAATTCTTTAATAAATGATAATACACCGATCTCTTAAAGCTACTACTAACGTACCATATAATCCGCAAATAATTTTAATACTTTATAATAATTTTGCTTATAAAGTTTTAAAATCAAAATATACTCTTAAGATAGAAGTCATATTTATGAGGTACTCCTACAAATAAGAGCAAAGTTAATGACTTCAAATCTATCCGGTTTATTAAATCAGTCTGTAAATCGTCAACGATTCGGCTTAATCCTTATGAGTATACTAGTAGAAGTGTATATTTAATTAGATTTGATGTTTGCTTCAATTAATTTGATATTTAAATAATCCATGAAATTCATACCATAGTTACGCGTTCTCCACAGTTCCGTGACTTATCTCACTCCAATTTTATTTTATTTATATTTATTCATATATTATTTTGTTTTCTCAAGCAAAACGTAAACGGCTACTGAATTATTGAGTTGAAATGATAAATCTTTTAAGCTCACTTTAAAGTTTATTTATGTCATGTTATTAATTTAAGTCTGATCTCTTCGCAAATCCCATAAATTTACATTTCAAGTTGACTTTTAAACGTTATCTATGAAAAGAAATCTGTGTAAAAATAAAAATTAAAATGATCCGAGACAAAGATAAACAAGAATCAGATAAGAATTCTTACACGCGAAGCTCGCTTGTAATAAAAAATTAGTAAGAGAATTAAAGTGGATTGATTGCTTTGATTGATCTTTACCGATACTCAAATGCGCTACACTCAGCACTAATTTATTTAAACGTATGAGATAACATAAATTAACATTATATAAGTAGTTTGAAAATATATTAGAAAGTTATGTCATTGAGTCACTAATACAGTTATTATTATTACACAGACATATATTAAACTAAAATTTAATTATTAATTACTATAATAATAATATTAATGGACCAATCAAATTTAAAATGACATTGAAATATAATATTTTTCTAAACGTATTTTTCTGACAAATTCTGTGATCACATAGCCTTACTCTTACTCACATCAATGGAAGTGATGACAGTTACATTTAGCACTGTCAAGCTATCCTGTCCATGTCTCCCTGCCAAGCTATCCTTACGTACTCTCACATTGCTTTTTATTTATATATTTTTTAATAAGTTGACTTCAATTTGATCATCTTATTGATTACTGAACATGTTAATATCTATAGCAAACATCTCTGGTCACAGTGAGGAGTATAAAACATCTCAAGCACTTTACTGCTTAGAGATGACGAAATTTTTTTGCCAAAAACTAAGTACTCTCCCCAAAAAACACTTTATTGATATATTCTTCAATTATTGGGTTCATGACCAGGAACAGGACCTCATTTAATATTCAAACTTCAAATAACTATTCTCCCTCAAATAACTTCAATAGCTAACAAACAGCTCTTCATGCTAAAACTCCTGAAGCCATCTGCAGATTAAGGCAGTGTCTGTTTTGGTATCACAATCTAAAATAAAATTCGGAAAATTTGCTGGAAACATCTTCCTAGAAGCGTCATGCTCAGTATACTAAGAGACGGAACGCGCAGCACACTAAGATGCACTGAGTATGCCATGAAACGCAATAACAATTAGGTTGCAGATTGCTCGTACTTTTCGTTTTTCTATTCCGGAATGTCAGTACTATACAATTATTTTTCATCAATTTTTAGGGTTTAGGTGTTGGCATATCTTGTGGGAATCAAAACAGTAGATACTACTTTGCTTTATGTTTCCACTCACCAATATTTGAGAGAAACATTTTTCGAAAAACCTATAAAAGCATATTTGTTGGCATCGAGTACAGAGAGTTAAGTAAAATAATAAACCAACCCAACCAACCGGCGCGGTTGATCATGTTGTGGGAATGAAAGAAAATGCTCCGCTTAAAAGATATTTGATTTGGTACAATACGCGATAGAGGGATCTCGACCTTGGAAGGACTAGGTTACCCATGATATAAGGCACTCAGTTCTGCTAACTTACGACATTAAATCAGCAAATAGCCCCCTTTAGCTTGTTAGGCAGTACTTTTCTCTAGCTTGTCAGCAAATAGCTAGCTACT